CATGAGTATTTCCATCTCCTTATGATAGTCCTCTACACTTTTCGACCCTTGATATAAACCTTGCAGTTTTTGATGGATCTCTCGGTAATAGTGGCTAGGAACAAACCTCTTTCTCATCAATGACTTCAATTCCTCCCAAGTGCTGATTGGTCTTCCCCCACTCCTACGTTGTGAAGTAATCACCTGATCCCACCATGAAATTGCATAGTCACTGAACTCCAAAACTACTAACTTCACATTTTTCTCCTCCGAATAGTTATAACACTTGAAGATCATTTCAACCTTCCTTTCCCAATCCAGGTATGCCTCGGGATCACTCCTCCCTTTGAATGAAGGAACTGTCATTTTTATATTTCCCAAATTTCCATCCAACTCCTCCCCACGATCATTTCGACCCTGCCTGTCGAACCTATCGCCTCTATTCATCATCCTTCCCATCTCAACACCGTGAAATTCATCTTCGCCCATGTCACTCCCATATCCATACTCCTCTCGCCTTTCCCTCCTAGGCTCCCATCTATCCGGTCCTCTAGCATTGGATACATCCACTCGATACCCCCAGCTAAGATTAGCCACCGATGTATCTAATCTATTCATCAAAGCCTCCTGCTTCTCCAACCTATCTCTCACATCTCCAAACGCCCTCTCAAACCTCTGCATTAAATCCTCCGATGTATTGCTATTATTGCCTTGTCGGCTTGAGTTTGATTCTGCCATTTCTGACATCCTAACACTAAAATTTTATTTTACTGCCTCACCAAAAGTCACTCGGAACACACACAAGGCTTTTACCCTCTATTAAGCTCACCTCTCTGCCTTTTACCACTCAGTTCTTTCAACAATTGCTTCTAGGAACAATCAATGAACTCAATCAATCAATCAATTCGTGTAGAATTCCCCAAATCGGATGTGACTCAATAATTGTAACAAAGGACTCAAAGAAAACTTTTAAAACTTGATTTAAATTGAAGGAATGGAATGATTCAATGAATCCAAGTAATTTAGAAACGATAATGAATAATAATAGTTGGTATTTGACGGGTCAATAATATTTAACAAGTTTTTTTTACTGTACGGATGAACAGTAATGTTCGGGTGAATAGTATTTTTTTAAAGATCCGGAAATCAATAACAAAACCAACAAAGAAAACGAAAACTGATTTGGGCGAAAATTAAGCTCAGAAACGGAATTTGAAGATTTTTGATGAAACTTTTAGATCAAAGAATCAAGAAAACCTTCTGGACACAAGAACACAAGGAATTGAAAAAATTTAGAAAACAAAGGATATAACCTGATTAAATTGGAGCCAAAGCTCTGATACCAACTGATGCGAACCCCGTAGCAATGGAAACTACGAAATCCACAACGAGATTGATGTGGAACCCAATAACGCTAATACTAACCCGATTTTTGGATCTCGAACCCCAAGAATTGAACCAAGAAACCCTAGATTAGCGAAAAACCTAAAACCCCTTGATACAATTAATAGAACCCACAATCCGATTGATAGAACGCCACAAGAAGTTGAATCTTGATAAGTTTCAAGATTGTTCAAGAAGAATAATAAATTGAAAGAAGAAATTTCTCTCTCTATAATATTAATTCAAAAGTCAAAAGTTCAAAAGTTGTTGCAATGAAAAGTAATCTCCTATTTATACTAATAAATAAAAACGTCCAAAACCATCAAATTATGGTAATAATTTGATTTCATAAGAATTCTATCGAAACTAGGAAATTCGGTCAAAATTAGAAAATTCGCCAATTTTTTTGGCTGGTGAGGCCGCATGGTGTAAATCCATGCGGTCGCATGGTTCAACAGGAATTAGTCTTTTGGTTTTCGGTATGCATGTGTGTGGCCGCAGGGTATTTTGCATGTGCGGCCGCATGGTGTTGTCTTCAGCCTTCGCTTTCGTCGCTTGATAACAAATTGATTCAAGTTGATTCGGCCTTCGACCCGAACATGAAAGTTGCTCCATTTTGAGTCCCGAACATGATTCCATCAATGGTTTCCTGAACGAGCAATCCCATCACTTGTTTCACTTACTTTGCCCTTGATCGCGTCATTTGTCCACCATCGACTATCAACGGGTCTCGTCTCGTACTTGCTTTCGTCGGGCTCGACTCCTGGATCATATCACTCTCTGACTGAATTCTATAATCTGCCTATCAGCTAAGCACTTTTGCCACCGTAAACGAAAGTGGATCTTAAGACCAGTATAAATATCTAATTCCTATGGGGAAGAATCAACATGAGTCTTTGTTTCAATATTTATGCCATAAATATGCTCAGAAAATTCTTCAATTGCTTTGATAAATAATGGGTATCCTTCATTTGTTTCGGTAGCATGACAAGCTAATTGAGTAGCTTTTCTACACACAATGTTTCACGGAAATGCAAGACACGATACGACATGATACGACATGAAGAAATGCTATTTTTGGAAAACAAACAAAAAAAAGTAGGACATGAAATGTTGGGAAACATTATATTAAAATTATTAATTTAATGTCATAAAATTAATATTCAATAAAAACTCTATAATATAAATTAAATAACAAAAATTCCACAAATCTATCTAACTAAGATGTGGACTGTGGACATAAAATTATTGTCATCTATAAAGTCAAAACAATTATTGATAATGAATCAATACTCAAAATATAAAAAAAAAAAAAAAAAAAAATCTTAAGTTCTCAAATCAAATTGCTTTATGTGTATCATCACCATCAATATCTATAACACTATCATCAACATTATTGAATAACTTGACCTCTATCTCTAGTTCATCCAAAGAAAGATTTGCAATGTTAAGTGTTCCAACATCTTCAAAAGAGTCAAATTGACCCCCAGAAGTATTAAAATATGAGCACTACTCTATAATAATATATCCAAGTTCTTGATTATCTTGAATATATATGTGGATATATATTCATAATTTATAAGTAGTTAAAAGTACTAATGAATAAGCACATACTTATACTCCGAATGCAGTTCTCTTACCATAACCATATGATAAAAATGATAGCTTTTGTATTGTTACACATAAAGTGACGGCTTTTGGACCAATTTAATTCTACTTTTTTTGTGACCTTTTGAATTAATTTAGTAACATTGGCTCTAAAATAATAATAGTAGTTTATAAATTCAATCAAAATCATTCATTAATTCAACCACACATTCATAATTATTAAATATTTATTATTTACACATTTCGTGAAATCTACTATTATTTTTATTAATGATCTACAACTTTGTCAAATGAAGAGCATCATCAAAAAAAATTTAAAATATGAGCTGCTATCTAATTTAAAATGTTAAAATTATGTTCTAAGAGATCACGATTCTTCATATTGTTTCTTTGTTGCTTGTTAATATCATTAATAAGGACTAATAAATATTTTGATATTTGCATATTATACAGAAGCTGAATCATGTGTTACAACAGGAGATATTGATCCAAGTTTTACCAAATGAGAGGTTAATACTCTTGTACATATTTTGATATTGTTGTTTGTAAAAGTTTGAATGGAGTGCTTGTTGCTACTAACTTAATACTACTTTTTTGCCTTTTTGTTCATATATCGAACTTTAGACAAATATGAATGTAATTTAACATTTAACATTATTGGTTCTCGTTTAATTTTATATGTTAACTTGTTTTAAATATATTACTATAATGACGATAGGAAAATCGTGGATTAAAATCTAACCAAACTACAAATAATGGTTTGGTTTAAAAAATAAAATGATTTGATTTGGTTTAAAAAAATTTCAAACTGCATAAAATGATTTAAGTCGAATATATAACACAAATTGTCCAAACCAAACCCTATTCACTCCTAATGTAGATGGAAAATGAAATGATGTAAAGGTGCGGTCTGAAAAGTAAATGATTCACACAAACATTAAAAGCAAACAGTAGACTATGACATGACTGTGACACGACTCCATAAAGGACCTTGCTATATAAATCCCAGTATTTACCGAACACTCACATTCAAATGCGGAAATTTTTTTTTCAATATTTTATACACGGACCCACTCTCATGTGAGTGAGAATTTAAAAATCTGTCAAAAATCTGGCAAAAATTTTCTGTACTTGAAGAATTTTTCCAATATTTTATACACAGGCCCACTCTCATGTGAGTGAGAATTCAAAAATCTGTCAAAAATCTGGCAAAAATTTTCTGTACTTGAAGAATTTTTCCTCCATAAAATCAGTGTGAAAAAGAAGTATCTATTTTCTTTTATGTAGGATAAATTTACATTATTCTACGTCCTATGCCAATATATGAAAATTTAACCAAGCAAAAACTCTTTTTAAAAATAAATTGAATCGTAGGAAATCAAAATAATGAAGTTGAATATGATAGTTTTATGATAAGTGTATTTTATACACTTATTCTAATATTTAAATATAGATATTTTGAATTTTTTAAAATAAATTATAGTCTAGTTTACTGTATATTTTGTCTATTAGGTGAAACGCGATGAATGGAAGAGGAATTGAAAGATAGAAGCAGAAATTGACGAAAAAGTGTGAAAAGCAAAAGTGTGGAGACTAAAATGTAAACATCCAATTGTTGATTTTCGGATCCCAAAATGAAGATTAAATATATTACAGGTTCAATTGGATGCAATTAAAAATTAGATGAACGAAATTGAAAGAGAAAAGTAAAAGAATCAAGAATCGAATTCGATGGCCAAAACGGAAAGCTGGAAGCTTGTATAAATGGGTGACTACACAGTTATAAAGTCTACCAAACGATGATTTAGTTGTATTATAGGAGGATCTCATAATCGAATTATAAGTTGTATATTTCTTGAAATTGTTAATTTATCTATTATTACGTGTGACATATATATATTATCTCATAAATTTAATGAATCATTAATTTAACACGTTATTTGATTGACAAAATTATTATTTAATCGAGATTATTATTAATTTATCGTAAATTAACATTTAGTTATGCAAAAGTATCCATCATAAGTAATCGTAGTCAACGGTCGTCACCAAAACACTAGGAATACGGCCTGAAGTCAGCTTTCAAAAATTGTCGCTTTCCATGCAGTTGTCACCCAGTGAATATGAGATTAACCCAGTGAATCAGTCAGAGCTGACGGATTCTACAGAGATGCAGGGAAGGTGTTTGGTGAAATGTCAGCTGGGTGGACCACCAATATTTCATGTGGTTCTATTGAAATTAAAATTTTCGTTGACTCCTAATCGTGTTTCGTAGAATGTCAATGGAAATTACATATGGCGACTTGGTCTACCGCTACCTCGGATATAAATTGGAATGAACAGGCTGGCAGCAACCTGTTTATCAAACTAAGGTCGTTAAGGCTTTAAGGAAAGTTGAAGATGAAGATGAAGATGCACGGGGTCATCTTATTCCTTCTCTTCTGTGAATTTCATGGTCAACCATATCCTGATGCATCTCAGGACAGTCACCAAGAAACGAAAACCATAAAGATTGGTCTCATTCTGGACTCGAAATCATGGTTGGGGAAGGTTGTTAACAGCTGCATGTCAATGGCAATTTCAGACTTTTACACGCTCAATGGACAGTATAAAACAAGGATTGCTCTTGAAACAAGAGATTTGAGAGGAGAACCGCTGAATTTTTTAGCTGCTGGTGAGTTATTTTATTGCTGCACTTATTTGTTCTCTTGTGTAAACGCATTATATGTATATTCTGAAGAAAGTGGCTAGTAGGTCCCGGAATTCTTCCAGCACATGATTTAGGCTTACTGAAAAACTGCCTCCTTTTGTGGAGGTTTAGATTATTCTGACTCAGGATTTCTTATTATTTCTTCATGCAGCTTTTGACCTTCTGGAAAATGCTGAAACGCATGCGATCATAGTCCCAGAAATGTCAAGTGAACAGGCCTTCTTGGCGACACTGTGTGACAAAGCTAATGTGCTATTGCTTTCATTTTCTTCAACATCATCATTCAATGAACATCCTTATTCGTTGCAAGTTGCACAAGATGAGACCACTCAATTCAACGGTGTTGCTGCCTTTTTAGGAGTATTCCAATGGAGGACTGTTGTACTTATCTACGAGGACACCGCAGATACCAGACAAATTCTATCTCATCTACATGACACCTTTCGTGATAATGATGTGGATGCTGTAAATGATATCGCCATTACTCCGAGGGCTACAGATGAAGAAATTATCAAAAAACTTCATAATCTCAGATCTATGAGAACATCAATAATTATTGTACATACATCAGTTTCTCTTGCATCTCAAATTTTTAGAAATGCAAAAACGTTGGAAATGATGAGTGGAAACTTTGGTTGGATAGTGACTAGCAAAACCATGAACTTATTGGAGTTCCAAGATCCTGCAGTATTTGAGACAATTCAAGGAGTAGTTGGTCTCAAATCTTATATTCCTGCATCAAGCAAGCTCCGGGATTTCACTTTGAGATGGAGACGGGAATTTCAGCTTAGTCAGATTGATATGGAAATTAGGGGATTGAATGTGTTTGGCATATGGGCATATGATGCAATATGGGCATTAGCAGAGGCAATTGAGAGGGAAAGAATACATATTTTTCCAAATAGGGGAGAAGACTTGGGACTGAACCTAACAGGCCTAGCTCCCATAAGAGTTTCTAAAGTTGGTTCAGCCCTTCTGAGCAACTTTCGAAGTATTCAATTTACAGGGTTAGGGGGTGAATTTCAGCTTGTGAATGCAAAATTAGTCCATGAGACTTATGAAATAGTAAATATGATAGGAAATGTGGGAAAAAGAGTAGGTTTCTGGACACCGGCTTGTGGACTCACCAAGGAAATATATCCATCCACCAACAATTGTTCCTCTAGCAGCTTGGAAACTATTATTTGGCCAGGTTTCTGCAAAACTGCTCCAAAAGGTTGGTTAGTTCAAATGGATGGTAGACCTTTTAAAGTTGGAATTCCAATGAACTCGAGGTTCCATGAATTGATAAGCTGGCAGCATGATCAACAAACAAAGGAAATAAAATTCACTGGATTCTGTGTAGATGTGTTTGATATGGCAATTCAGAGATTGAACAGAGCCATAGTTTATGAATTTATTCCCTTCTACAATCACAACGGAAGTTATAGTGATCTCATAAACCAGGTCTCTCAGCAGGTATGTTAATCTTCCTTATTCTTGACTAATCAAGGAAAAACCTAGACAAGTTTGATTGATTACTAAACTACATGGTATAGTCTTTCCACTTTATTATTAGAAGTATTAAATTTGGAAGAGCCTTCAGTTTGGTTCTCTACAATTTCCATTATGTAAAGTAGGACTTAACTTTAATATCTCGGAATGGGAGGAAATCTACTCCTGTGATGCTATTCTAACTCACATTGTATTCTGTCTCATGAATGGACTAGACATTTGATGCTGCTGTAGGGGACATAACTATTACTTCGAACAGGTCTCAGTATGTTGACTTCTCGTTGCCATACACTGAGTTAGGTGTTGGAATGGTAGCACGATTAGACAATAAAGACCCATGGTTCTTCTTAAAGCCACTTAGTGTGAACCTATGGATAATGAGTGCTGGTTTCTTCATTCTGACGGGAATTATTGTCTGGTTTATTGAACACCCTACCAATGAAGAATTCCAAGGTTCTCTAGCATGGCAAATTGGGACAATACTTTGGTTTGCGGCATCAACTCTTGTTTATGCTCAAAGTAAGCTACCTATCTATTGTCACTTTATTTCCCGCCTATTCTTCTATTTTGTAGTATCCTGATGATGTAGATGACAACATTATTTTAGCACAGATAATTAAACATATCGTCATCTCATACTTTTAGAAATAGAAATAAAATGAGTGTGCTATAACCATATTCTGGTTTAAGAGTGGTGAAGAAATCACTGGTTTTAGCCTTAGTGGAGCTATAGAATATCCATTTTCTCATTGTAGGAACAAGTATTGTTGATTGACCAGCTAGTGCTCGCTAAGACTGATCCGATATTTACCTATAGTATGCAACCTGGATATTCTTAATTTTTTTCAGTATATCAAGAGTCATCTTAAAGTTAAGCCACAAAATCTTAACCTTTCTATTTGTCTTATTTCACAGGTTTTCATATATCTTTCTCTAAATACTATTAATACTAGCTTCATATTTCTTAACTTGTGCATCTAGCTGGTTTCTTTGAATGTAGCCAAATCATCATAAGCTATTCTCTTGTTTGTTCACCTCTATCATTGAATTCACTTCAATTTTTATTTTTTTATTTTTCAGAAAATCACAAAACCAACCCCCAACAGCAAATTGGCTGAATCATCCCCAACTCTCTCATACACATGGAAATCTAGTGAATGGAGTTTTAGCCCAATTGAGATTCCAATAGATTACCTATAATAGTAATTCTCCAAAACCATCCCATGTAATCAGATAACTCTATTTAGAAACTAAAATATTGTCTTAAACCAGATATAGTTTTGTTGGAGAAATAAGACTTCGAGTTAGTTTTTTACATGATCCTAGTTTGGCTTGGTCGAACAAGAAGCTTAACTAAATTCTGGGAAAGATACTTTATTTAATTGCTTTTGTCGTGAAGGAGTAAAATACATATTTGAGCACCAAATCTCATAAAACATCTTCAACTATCTTATGTTTTGGATAAAAAAGTTTAACTTCATAGCTAGATTAAACAGAATCTGGATTTAAACCAAAATTGAACCAAAACTTTTAGACTTGCAGTTGTCAATATACGTTAATAATCTGGAAACACTGGTTCTCACTAACTCCAGACTACAAACTTGTTACACGCTGCCTCTATCTTTTAACAAATGAAATTCTGATTCAGCAATGAAACCAAAGACAAAGGGAGAGCCGATTTCAATGAAATGAGATGTAGTTCTTGGAGGACTTTTACATCATCATCTTCTACATATCCGTAATGATTGTTGTGTTGTTGATTGGCTCGTAGATATTTTCAGGTAGGAATGCAAACCTGTGCAATTTTCGAAGAAAAACAGGGACATCTAATTTTTCTTTTTTCGAGTTTGACTCAAACAAAAGGCATTGAAAAGTAACTAGACATTTAATGAGATTCGATCATCTTTTCAGGACCAAAGCTAACAGTTCTGTTAAGAATTAACAGCAGAGGGTAATGTATGATTTCTATAACAAATTTTGTAACCTATTTCCAGAGTAGAGAATGTAATCAGCCCCTTCTGATAAGCACAAGAGGTGATCAACAGTTTACTTCCTATATCCCCGCCTTCAGGAATCACAACATAGCATATAGGATAAAGTTAGATAGCAACTCGGAAACAAAAATATGAACTTGAGTTTTAAGGATACATTTGCAGCTTGTGAATTGTGTTTCTTTTTGTTTTTGCAGGAGAAAGATTACAAAGTAATCTATCAAGATTTGTCGTGGGGTGTTGGTTTTTCGTAGTACTTATACTGACATCAAGTTATATCGCAAACTTGAGTTCACTTTTGACAGTTCAACGGATAAAACTGACAAAAAACGATTACATAGGGTACTCAGCAAACTCTTTTGTAAAGGGACTTGTCAGCAACCTGAATTTTCAGGATAACAGACTTAAGCCTTTTAACTCACCTGAGGAATATGATCAGGCTTTGAAAAATGGAAGTGAAAAAGGCGGCGTTAGTGCTATTATTGAAGAAATTCCTTACCTTAAAATATTCCTGGCGAGGTACCCACATGATGATTATGCCATAATTGACTCCTCAGAGAAAAGTAATGGCTTTGCTTTTGTAAGATTCTTCTCCCTCGAAAAATATGTGCGTGCATGTACATGTGTTTGTGTTTTTATATGCATGCGTATAATTGATGAACACATTGTAGGTTTTTCCAAAAGGTTCACCGTTGGTCCATGAAATGTCAAGACAAATTGCGATGCTCAGAGAAGATGAAGTCCTGCAGGCGTTGGAGAATAAATGGTTTACAAGCCAATCTTCATTATCTTCTATAGACACAAAGCTTCCTACGACCAATACTCTGGAGGTTACTAATTTCTCTCGTCTATTTCTTGTTAATGCAGCCTGTGAAGCTGTGGCCCTTCTTCTTTTTTTCGTCTTTGTACTCTGTGATAAAATGTCCATCAAATACTATATTATCAGAATGTTGGCAGGGAGAAAACTGGTATCCATATTTAGGTACCTATATACAGCCAATACAATTGGTACGACAACTACCAGATAATGAGTTATATGTAATGATATTTTCTGTACTATAGCCACAGTTTACAGTTAATTATAACAAAGTTTGTGATGATTTGGCTTCTAATACTTCTATTTTCATCGCATCAAATGTTGCTAATTCATGGCTTCTTTAGGTTTTATTTTGCCGGATGGGATGGGGTTTTTATGTTTTTGAGCTTATGTTTTAAATGTATGTTTTTTTAAGTATTACCGAAAATGATTGTGCTGTACAATAGATGAAATTAGCTAACTTTTCTTCTTTTATAATTTAGAGGTGTTAAGTGGGGCGAGTAGATCGCCATCTCGATTCGTCACGCTGGCCAGCCAAACAACGAATCACTAGTGTGAGCCAGCTGGCCTTAGGTTCGCAACCGCTTTCATTTTAGCTACCAATATTTGGCTATAAAAAAAAAAAAAAAAAAAAAGGCTCGCAAGCCAGCTCGAATTGCCTCGTTAAGGAGTGAGTCGAGTCCAACTTTCTTGAGGCTATCTGGCTCGCTCTCAGCTGTCCCGAGGGACGAGCGCATCATTTAACACCCTTATAATAATCTTACCAAACGAACCCAACTCACCTTTAACATACGTACAATCTTTCTAGCTTCACCAATATGAAGAAACAAATGCCTCAACATATACAATGCAAAGTTAGTATAAATATTTGGGATGTTTTTTAACCCTTGTTTGAGCCCCATTTTTGTTAAGAAAATGAATTTTTGAATAGTGCATTGATGAAAAATGTATGGTTAAAAAATAAGGAAAAGTTTTTGATTTGCGTATAATATTATTTTATTGAAAAATGTGTGGTTAAAATGATGTCAAATCACTGTTGAAAAATGTATTTTAATTGAAAAATTGGGTTCAAACAAGGGCTTAGTGGGTTAATGACTTTCTATATAAATGAATATATTTGATTTTTTGACTTAAAAGGAGAATCTGTCATAATAGATGATCTCAGAGGAGGCTTATGTAATTTTCACATAATTGGAGAAATTAGAGAATGAAAAGTGACAATTTGCAATTCATGGAGGCTGTAGCAAATTTATAGAAGTCAAAACAAAAGTTAAGAATTTATAGAAGTCAAAACAAAAGTTAAGAAAAAAGAGAGTTACAGCTGGGAGGCGCCATAAATCAAACCTTTAGAAAAAGAAGACTAAGCCTCTATTTAATTGTGATTATTTTGAAAAGGGCAATATATATATATATATATATAGCATTTTAAATAATGATTTATTGGAAAATATGTGGTTAAAATGTACACGCAAAATATTTCATTTACGTGAATGTGTAGTTGAAAACAAGTATGAGAATTAAAGAATTTTTTTTTCCTTTTTTTTTAAGAGGGATAGATAGCAGCTAAATAATTTCATTCGAAGACAAGAATAACAATAAAACATAATAAGTAAATCAATGAAACTCATGAGGGTGCATTATTCATCTGGTCGTCATAGATATGATTTCGTACATCGATCTTAAGCATTATGTTTCTTGCTCATAATAACTTGAGTACTGGAGATAACCAGCAGAGAGGGAGGCTCGTGTCTGTGGGAAGGAGCCCTCTACCCTCCAGCGCATAAGCTACCTAGTATTTGTTGGTAGGGATTAAAATTAGACTTTTAACAAATATTGATAAACGTAGATGAAATATGTGGTTGAAAATTTATGGATCTCATAAAATGTGTGGTTAAAATTAATTGTTGACTTTGAATTAAATTAAAATCTGAATTTTAATTTTCACGGGCCTAATAGGGTATGGATAGAGCAAAATAAGAATAGTGAGTTTTGACTGGCTATGGCTATGGCTATGGCTATGATTTATGAGAAACTGTCGGTATCCTGCCTTAAATGTCAACACATAGGGACATTTTTGGTCATAAATTTGTGTTGAATGAGTTATTATAAATATATAAGCGTGTACAGAATAGATTTTTACAGTTCTCAGTCCTCTTCAAACTTCAAAGTCTACATATTGTTTCCTTTCAGTCCTTCAACTTGAACAGATCATACCTGCAATGTCAAACTCAATAATAGAGGAATTTGAATGCAAAAATTTCCATTCATTATTTTGGTTATATAAAAATATTATGCTGAATAATGTATTGAACACTTCCATTCATCTACTGTGACCTTTCGTTGTCCAGTACTTGAGTCAACATCTTGAATATATAGATGGCAGAATCAGCTTTAGTTGTACCGAAAATTCAGTTAAAATTTTTGGAAAATTTTTGCCTGTTACAAAATCTGTATTTGAGTATTTGGTAAAAAAAGAAAAAAAAAATTATTTTGTTCATGTTATACAATTATTAAAGATTATTCATTACAGTGATCTTGAATATTATTAGTAACATGTAATATTACCAAGTATTTAACTAAATCAATATATTCATTATTATTAATTTCATTGGAAAAGTATTCCAACTTTATCAAACTAGAGAAATAAATTTGAGAGGTCAATGGCTTGGGGAAAAAGGAATACCAACCATTTATTACCTCTAATGAATTAATTTTAGGATTTTGCTACTTATACATCAAAATTGTACATAAGGGATTACACAATATGATGTGGATGAAGAAGATTGATAGAAAAAGTTGATTATGTATTAAACTGACAAATAATAGAGTATCATGTAGTATTATATAACCCATTATGTAATCCCTGATATACATGTAACAAAATCCTTAATTTTATTCGTTGGGAGTTTAAAATTGATATTTTAATCATAGATAATTGAAGAAATTACAAACAGACAATTTTGCTGCTTCTTATGATGTCATTTAAGCTAAAAGCACAAATAAAAATTAGATTAGGATGATATCATTTAAGTTCCATCTAACCTGATCAGAGACGGATGGAGGGGGGATTAGGCTGGGTTGTAGTCCGCCCCCAAGGCCCAAAATTTTTTTTTTAAGGTATATTTTTTTTTGTTAGTAAAAACAGTTTTTTTTACGTGTTAAAAAAAAATTCATGCTGTAGTCCAATCTGAAATTTTGTAGTTCGATTTTAAATCCAATCCTAGATCCGTCCTTGGTCCTAATCATGCCATGAGTTCAGAAACACTCTTGCCCACAAGCCACCCGAGGCCTAGAGCCCTTGCTGTGCAAGAAGTCGTACCTTAAAGGTGCAAGTAATTTGAAGGTTCTATTCGTGATCATTGTTCGTCTTTTCTCAATTCGAGACAAGGTATCTCCAAGTACAATTTTTGGTGGCATAGGCCTCAATATTTAAAGGTTGAACCTCAAATTTGAGGGCCCCCACGGTCCCGTCCCTAGAGTTTTGTGAGGGAGGTAAATCACGAAATGTGCCTCAACAGGCCAGGGAACAAGAGCCGCATGTACACTGTGCCTACAAGGAGTCCAATTTCATGTCTCAATAATTGAACCCCCACACTGCGGCTGCCAGCAAGACGTGAGATAACCTCACTCCTGTCCTTTGCACCACTGAGCTATGCCCCGGAGGGCGGCATAGGCCTCATTTCTTAATTGTATGTGGAATTGTCACTTTTAAATTGATATTCCTAAACACTCCCGTTGCTCTCATCTTCTTCTTCATTTAAAATTAAATATATAACTATTTCAAGATGGCTATTTTAAAATCTTTTCTAGAAAAAGTCCTTGGCAAATTCAGAATCCAAGCAAACTGCTCATACGGTTGACTTGCGCGCCAGTCAATTAAAATAACTATTCAATGTTTCCTGGTGTTTCATTTACAACTGCAGTATATGTATATGAAAAGAAAACAGTCTGTCTATATATTCAAATTGCTAATAATTAGATGAAAAGAAAATGGCAAATGTTTGCAGAATTCTCATATTCTCCATTTTCTTTGGTATTTTAACTGATGAATTGTATGCTGCAAATTTGATTAGTTCATCAAATAGAATTCAAGAAATTGAAGTTGGAGTTATAGTTGATATGGGATCATGGGTTGGGAAGACCATCCATGCCTGCATTTCTATGGCCATTTCTGATTTTTACGAGACGAATAGTCACTACACAACGCGTACAGTTTTGCACGTAAGAGACTCTCATGGAAGACCACTTGGTGTTCTATCAGCAGGTCAGATTAATTATTTCTTCTTTGTCTCAAACATTCTATGATGAAAAGGATCAAAATTGTTTAAAAGTTTGCTGTGAGAATTTGAAAATATTCGATGCTTTGCCGACATATATTTATGTAATGAAGAATACACATCTATTTTTTTGGAAGTTTCACTATTTGTGGAGGATAATTCAGGTTAGTTTATACTTATTTATCCTTTTAAACATTTTGATTATGAATTTGTTTGTGATTAGTAGAGATTTAGCAACTTGTTAAGTAAAATTAAGGGCTAATTATCAGTCAATATCTGTTATGCAAAAAGTAAATAATCTTTCTTTTTTAAAAATAAAAAATAAAAAATCCTTGATTATTTTGATACATCTGTCGATAATAAGAATAATTATTATTATTATTTTTTATTTTTTTATGGTTGAAATGGTTCTTCTATTTCCTAATGCAGCTGTGGATCTTTTGGAGAACAGTAAGGTACATGCAATTATTGGCCTGGAGACATTTCTTGAAGACAAGTTCTTAGCCATACTGACAGAGAAAGCTAAAATTCCAATATTGTCTTTCGCTCCTAGTGTTACCTCTAACGAATTCCCTTACATTGTTAAAATTAGATCGGACGAGGCCTCTCAATTTGATGGCATTGCTTCTATTGTCAAATCATTTGAGTGGAACGACGTTGTTCTTATTTATGAGTATACGAACAAAGAGAGAACAACTATACCTCATTGGGTGAAATCATTTGAAGGAAAAAACATTCATATCTCTTACAGAAGTGTCATTTCTTTGTCCTCTAAAGATAATGAAATCCTCAAAGAGTTGCATAAGATTACGACTCTGGAAACAAAAATATATGTAGTGCACATGTCCCTGTCTCTTGCATCTCGCCTTCTGGTGAATGCAAAGAGATTGGGAATGATGAAAGATGAATATGTTTGGATAATCACTGACAAAGCAATGAACTCAGTGCATTCCATGGACTTTGATGTCATTGAATCTCTTCAAGGAACTTTAGGTTTCAAGGCAAATATAGCAGAATC